AATAGAAATAGAAATAGAAATAGAAATAGAAATAGAAATAGAAATAGAAATAGAAATAGAAATAGAACAGAATAGAATAGCTTTATTGGCCAAATGTGATTAGATACATAAGGAATTTGTCTCCAGTGCAGAAACTCTCAATGTACATAAAGGAAAAAAAAATACATTCATCAAGAATCATAAGATACAACACTTAGTGATAGTCATAGGTTACTAATAAGCAATTAAATCATACAAGGAAACAAATACTCTGTCCTGTGCCTTGAAAGAGATCAATAGAAGAACTTCAAAAAAAAAATCCAAGATCCACAATCCTTTTAAGGGATTGAGAGAATGGGAATTGGAATGGAAGTGGGAGTGGTGTGGAAGAATGATTAAAAGAGAAAAATTTTATCCCCTCAGGTAGTCAGTCTTACCAGGGATGTTGCAAAGCTTGTTCACAAGTGAATCGTTTCTCGGGGTCCCGTTCTAGAAGATGGCGGATGAAATCTTTGGCTACAGAGGAACAGAAACACAAACCTCATAATTTAGTTCAAAGTTACCAGAAAAAGCATTTCCCCCCCCCGGGCAACCAAATAGATAAAGTGGCCCCACTATGACTACGTTTAGTATCTTATCCTTGAACCATCACTTTGTCACTTAATGTAGCAGGGCAAGATGGGGGAATGTCAAGAGATAATGATCTGTGCCAGCTTATTGCTACTAGGAACTGGTCACAGTTGCTGAAAATCTGAAAGAAAATATCACTAAAAAAGTTCCATTAAGACGGTAGATCAGGAGTGCCTAGAGGGTTTGGTGGTGTCAAGGAAAGTCAAGATGGCGGCTTTAAGCACATATTCAAAGCCTTGCTCTGGTTTTACATGTCATGCGTGTTAGAAAAGGGGTGGAGCTTTGCTCACACAGTCATAGCCGCCATCTTCTTTTTTTTAACCCCCTCTCAAGGATGTTCCTGGTAGGCCCCTTCTTTTGTGCATCACAAGGCTTTGTGATTCTCCTCACTCCTTTGAGAATATGAAGCATGTGACAAATAAGAGTATTGCCAAACAAAGATCAAGAAAGATGTACAGAGGTTTAGAGGGCCATCCAATTTTTTAACATGAATTTTCCAGCCCATTTAAATCTTTAAAAGAACACGCTGTTGTTAAAATGTTGCAAATCCAAAGATACAAAACATGCTTATATTAAAGGCAAAATGTGTATATTAAAGCAGGGGTCTCCAACTTTGGTGATTTTAAGACTTGTGGACTTCAACTCCCAGAGTTCCTCAGCCAGGCTGAGGAACTCTGGGAGTTGAAATCCACAAGTATTAAAGTTGCCAAGGTTGGAGACCCCTGAATTAAAGGACAGTTTGCACAAAAGACTCTATTTTAGAGGGAGGTGTGCATGAAAGTGTATTCTGTCAGAAGAAAAAAGGTCTGCCAAATGCTTACTTGTTCTTCACCTTTTCACCTGGCAAAAGGTGAAGAGCATACACCCATTTTTTGTTGTTGTTATCAAGTGTGTCTACTGATGGGGAATGGAATATGAAGGTAGCAAAATGAATGGGACGATTAAGGCATGGATTCCTGCTTTTAAGGAACAGGATTGAAGTCCTTTCCCCCAGTCAATATATTTCAGTCAAAACACGTCCCCTTTCGAAGGATTCTGAACAAGGTTTCTACTACTTCCAAAGTTAGAACTGGCAAAAAATGCCACTTTCTTTACCCAAATGTGCCACTCACCTGACTCAGAGATATCATCCCAGTATGGGGAGTCAAACTCATATTCAGCTTTCAGGATCTGGTTGAAAAGCTCAGAGTCGTTCTCGTCATAGAAAGGAGGATAACCACAAAGTCTGCAGATTGGAACACACAGGCACCAAATCTCACATATATATGCAAAAACATGTTACAACCGATTATAAATGCAAAAGGATGGATAGTTGGTGAAGAAGAAAGGTACCCACAAGATATAGGAGATGACACCAAGTGCCCAGGAATCCACAGCTTTTCCATAGGCCTTCTGCTCCAGGATCTCAGGGGCTACAGAGACACAAATGGCCAAGAAGGCAAGGAAGGTATGAGGCTTTATTAAGAGCTGTACCCACAATGCAACTTTCTGCAGCTTAACATAGTTTTAAACGGTGAAAAGAAGAAACAGTTACCCAATAGATCAACTACATTCCCATCAGCCCCAGCCAGTACGATGAGCTTGGGGCTTGGTGAAATCTACTGGGAACTATTCTCAACAAAACCTATTAATGTTGATCTTGCAAACTCCACCCTTCCATTGAGTATATGTCAGTACATATGACAGCATAAGTACTTACAGCCAACCCTCCACCCCTATAACTGTGCACAAAAAAGGACAAAAAAGCAACTGTTCTTTTTTTGTACTGTTAACCACTTTGTTAATTGAAAATAATACTGAACAGAACACATGAGTTGTAGTACCATGGACTGCAAAAAGAATCAGTCAATCAGTTCTCAATCAAATAAAGACTTACTGTCTCTTGAAGTGGTATTCAGCAAGCAGACATTTGCATAATTTGGACATAGATATGAGCAGAAGATAAACTAGAAAAAAATATTATGCTTGGAAAGACAACAGATGAGGTAAATGAACAAATTCAGAGAGATTATTGAAATGTTCTTGGAACAGCTATTTGTTGTTACAGGAGACAGATCAAGATGCTCAATGTTTGTCCATACAGTCAAAAGTTGAATCCAACATATGATCATCTAAGTGACTAACTAATCCTGTAATCCTGTCCTTGAACCCTATAATTTAAATGCAATTATTTTCCAGACTATAACTCTAAGATTCCCATGTATATTCAGTGCATTGCTCCAGCAACTCCCTGTATTGGTTAAATGTAATACAATCCTTGCTTTTGTTGCCAGTATTTAAGACAATTGCCAGTTGCAAAGTCTTGTGCTAATTGTCATCTCTTCTTGACACATCTATTCTCAGCCCACCACCCATGTACGGTAGCATCCAAGAAGTGGGAGGAAAGAGTAAGGCTTTAGGAAAATACATAATATCCCCAATCTCTTTTGATTCTAACTCAAGGCCCCCAGAAGCTTGAACAGCCTCCTCCTAGAGATAAGGAGGGTGCCCTCTTTCCTGGAGTATCGGAAAGCTTGGGAAAATCCGGCCTTGGTCCCTGACCTGGGGTGGATTCTTCGTCTAAGACCCCTGGGGTTTGGTTTTTTTTGCATTTTTATTATCTGTAAAATTATTGTAGTCTGGGCTGTCCATCTGGTTTAAGGATTTTATCTGTTGTTATAGCATTTTTTTTTCTGATTTTGTGTACCACCCAGTATCTGTTGGAGTTGGACTGCTTATAAATGCCAATAAATGAAATAAATAATAGGTCTGTGTGCTCCTTAACTGGATGAAAGTCATTTTTAGCTCTCCCGCTTGTAAATGAGCAGATGGATTATGATTCGGAATATGCTACAAAAATATTGCAAAAATCTCAGTTTGTAGGTGAAAAAGGGAAACAGAAAAGAAACAATTGGCAGCCTCTTTAGAGTTGGAAAAAAACCACTCCTGATGGTTCTTCAAAACCATTGGAGGGTGAGTTTTAAGGTTTTTGGTTGCAGTTTCAGGTCCTTACATTATCCCCTGTTCAAGAATAGTGGAGCAAATCAAATGTTGCCAAAAAAAAAAAAAAAAAAAAAGCACACGCTCTGTAAAATATTTGTATAATGTACTCTTTCCTTGTCATGGACTGTTACCATTGAACATTGAATTCAATGATCAATTTTCTACAGGAAAGGCTTTGCACAACTACACAACAGTGGATATTAACACAGAAAAAGTTGGGCCCCTCACCCTTCCGTATTGCCACACTCACCAACATAGCCAGGAGTTCCACAAGCGGTAGACATGATGCCATCAGCCTCAATTTTAGACAGCCCGAAGTCCGTAATCATAATCTTGGCATCTTCAAATGGTGTGGCATATAGGAGATTTTCAGGCTGTTTGGACAAGCAAAACAGAGTAAAGTTGCATACATCATGTTTCGTAAGTCTTCCTGTAAGGATCTGAAAGAGTTTCTAATTTCTACACAACCAAAGATACTAAGAGTAGAGCTTTCCTCCCCCTTGCACTTTTTTTCTGCCTCTGCCCTAAAGGCATTGCCTTCATCTCCTCGCCACCCCATGACTGGCTTAAGTTGTTGTTTGCTATACTGGCATTAATGTAGGTTTCCCCACACACACACCTTATTGTTATGTCTCCTCTTGGAGATTCAAACGAACAAACACAAAGCAGCC